AGTACAACAAAAAGCTAGTTCGATAGCATTAGGGAAATTCCTCAGGATGTAAACGTTTGAGGAAGAAAGCTAAAGTTCGTCGTTGCTTATCAGCGAATTGCTATAACACGGTATTGACAGCTTTATCGGAGGCGTCAATTACAATTGGCAACGCCATGCGTGTTGTGCGTGCTCGTTCTGTTTCGTCATTTACCCAGAATACACACGCTCGTAAATGCAAGACACTTAACTGGCCTTCGAGTGAGGAGAGTGTAAAGAACGCTTACCGAGAAATATTAGTGAAGAGACTGTACAGTTCGAGTCAGGTGAGTGATCCTAACGAACATGGAGAACAAATCGCCACAGATATGAAAACATGCCGTGAAGAGGTCATCATCATTCATCATCATAACAGCCATGAGCCTGACCAAAGGTACTGTGGCTCGGGCCGCCGTTCACCTTAACAGTGACGTGGAATATCCTAGAAGAAAACGTTACTAAGAAGGGTGAACATTATTGAGAAAAGACTAAGAGGAAGAAGCGGAAATGGTATGGATACAGGTACGCCACTGACTGCGACACATCGCCATCTCGGATAGCGTTTCTAACCAGCGGTCTGAGTGATCACGAGGACCCCAGCCAGGCAAGCGACACCTACCCACTTTGCTCAGTGGAGCAGTCAAGGTCTTCATATTTTGTGACCACGTTGTTGCTTGACGGCCACGTGGTTTGACCCAACTGTTGATGGCCTCAGCATATAATGCCCGGTACGGTAAACGATTAGATGACATACGGAGTACGTGACCCAACCATCGCAAGCTGTGTACCGTAATTAATTGACCAATTGATCGCGCTTCCGGAGTGTTCCGGAATACGCGCCGGCGAACTGCCACATAGCTCACGCGATCAGTCCACTTAATATGGGCCAATGCGCGTAGACAACGATGGTCAAACACAGCAAGCCTGTTGATATCTTCTTTGTGAACAGGCCACGTTTCCGAACCATAAAGCAAAATGGAACGTACACATGCATTATATACCCTTCCTTTCAGCGACAACCGGACGTCTTTTCGACGTCACAGATGACGCAGTTTGGCAAAGGCAGCTCGTGCATTTGCAATTCCCGCTGATACCTCATCAGCAATATTGCAGGCTGACGAGATAGTGCTACCCGAGTATGTGAAACTGTCCACAGTCTCAAGCGGATTACCTGCAATGAAGAAAGTAGGAGTTGAAGTGCTTCAGTCTTGAAGCAACACTTTGCACTTTGAAAGTGCAAATCGCATTCCATACAAACCAGCTCGGTCGCTCAACCTGTCCAGCATGGTCTGCATGTTTTCGGCAGAGGGGCTAAGTAAGACAATGTCGTCCGCATACTCCAGGTCGGTCAATCTAACGCCAGGAAGAAGCTCAACACCAAGCCCATTAGACTCCTGAAGCACACCCTCCAGAATGTCGTCCATGACAAAATTGAACAGGAAGAGGGAAATCGGACACCCCTGACGAACACCACTAGAAGTGATGAACGCCCGAGACAGTTGTCCATAAACTCACCCTGCTTGCAGAGTGAGCATACAGTGATCTCAATAGATTCACGTATTTCTGTGGTACTCCCTTGCGGAGAAGGCAGCTCCAGAGAACGTTACGAGCAACTGAATCGAAAGCAGCCTTCAGGTCCAAAAAGATCACGACTATGGGCTGTCTGTAACAGTGCCGATGTTCCAAGATCCGTCGTAAGGTGAAAATATGATCAACGCAACCTCGACCGGATCGGAATCCTGCCTGTTCTTCGCGTATCTGACTTTCTCTGGGCTCAGTGAGCCGACGTAAAATGGGACCAGTGAGTAACTTGGACGCAATAGAAACCAAACTGATGCCCCTGTGGTTGTCACACAGACTTCGGGCCCCCTTTTTAAAAACGGGAATGACTGTTGATAGGCACCAATCACGAGGCACCTCTTCAGTCTTCCAGATCGTCTGGAGGAGTCGCGTCAGTTCCGATATCAAACTCTTCCCACCATCCTTAAAAAGAGAAGGAGGGAGGAGGTCCGGACCAGGAGCCTTATTACGCTTCAGTAACTTAAGCTCCAGGACCACTTCTGCTTCCGACGGAGGACCGTCTGTAGTGCAATAACTGACCATTCGGGTACCGTCATCCACATGATCTGGTTGAGGCCAGCTGAACTGTTCTTCAAAATGTTCAGCCCACCTGTCAAGTCGGCGCGATTGACTGGTAACAAGTGAACCATCTTTTTCACATATGGTCTCACTTACAGCGACTTGACGGCCAGTACAACCACGGATCAGGGAAAAAAGCTTTTTGCTATTCTCAGATAAAAAGGCTTTTTCCATCTCTTTTGATTGTTCCACCCGTGAAGAGGTATGTTCCGAAGGAACTGTTGCGACAGAACTGGATTTCTATCACATCGATAAACCCTACGAGCAAGCGTCGCTCGATTCCACCTGGCTCTGAATATGATAACGACCGTTGAGAACTTAAACGCAAGCTGACTAAAAGCTTGCGTAAAAATCGTGAAGATCACTTGGTTGAACAGTCAGAAGAGATGGGACGAACCTTTTTAGGTGGGAATAGCATAAAGCTATTTTTCTTGATTCGTGGTTGCACTGGCCGTCGAGTCGATGTAAACAAGATCATATGTCGAAAAGATGGTTCACTAATCACTAGTCTATCGCGCCGACTTGACAGATGGGCTGAACATTTTGAGGAACAGTTCGGCTGGCCCCAACCAGACCATGTAGACGACTGGACCCGAATGGTCAGTTACTGCGTCACAGACGGTCCTCCATCAGAAACAGAATTGGTCCTGGAGTTCAAGATACCGAAGCGTAATAAGGTTCTTGGTCCAGACCTCCTCCCTCTTTCTCTTTTCAAGGATGATGGGAAGGGGTTGATATCAGAACTGACGAAACTCCTCCATGCGATTTTGGAGACTGAAGAGGTGCCTCGTGAATGGTGCCTGTCAACAGTAATTCCCATTTTCAAAAAGGGGGCCCAAAGTCTATATGACAACCACAGAGGCGTCAATCTGGTGTCTTTTGTGTCCAAGATGTTCACTGATCTTATATTACATCAGCTCACTAAAGTCGGGAAATATCGCATACGTGAGGAACAGGCAGGATTCCGATCCGGTCGAGCGTGCGTTGATCATCTTTCCATTTTGCAACGGAGCTTGGAACATCGGCGCTCTCTTAAGCAGCCGACTGTCGTCCTGTTTTCAGACTTGAAAACTGCTTTCGATTCGGTTGCTGATAACATTCTCTGGAACTGTCTTCTTCACAAGAGAGTACCAGTAAAATACGTCAATCTTTTGAGATCACCGTATACTCACTCTGTAAGCAGGGTGAGGGTTTATGAACAACTGTGTTGAATTTGGTCATGAACGATATTCTGGAGAGTACGCATGAGAAATCAAGTAAACATCCCGTTGAGCTCCCTCTCGGCTGTAGTTTCGGCGACATGGATTATACGGATGATATCTTCTGATTTGGCCCATCTGCCGAAGACATGCTGGACAAAGTGAGCGACCGGGCTGGTTTGTATGGAATCCGCTTCGCACCCTCAAAGTACTGCTTCAAGACTGAGGCAGTTCCACACCTACCTACCACTTACGTGGATAGCACTATCTCGTCAGCTTGCACTATTGCTAGTAAGATATCAGCGAGAGTAATGAAAGCATCAGTTGCCTTTGTCAACCTGCCTCATTTACGGTGTGGAAGACGTGCGGTTTTCGCTGAAAGGAAGAGTATATAATGCTTGTGTGCGATCTGTTTTGCTCTATGGTTCAGAAACGTGGTTTGTTCGCAACGAACTTGCCCACAGATTTGCTGTGTTTGACCATCGTTGTCTCCGCCAAATAGTCCACATCAAGTGGATTGATTGCGTGGACAACACGGCCATTCACCGGTGCCTATTCCGGAATACTGGTGATGTGCGGCCAATTGGTCAACTAATCACGTTCCACAGCTTGCAATGGTCAGGGCACTTGCTCCGCATGCCACCCGAGCGATCATCATACCGGCCATTGCATACTGAGATCACCAAGAGTAGGATAAAAACACGTGACAGTTGAATAACGATGAGGTCACGAAATATGAAGACCCTGACTGTTCCATTGAGTAAAGTGGGTAGGTGTCGTCTGGCTAGCTGGGGTCTACGTGAACTTCCGAACCGTTGACTAGAGACGGTACTCGAGACGGCGATGTGCCGTAGTCAATAGCTTATCGGAATTCGCATCGTCTTTAGTTCTTCTGGTAAGTTTTTCTTGATTATTTTTTGGCCCGTTCAGTAACGTTATCGTGTACCAGGATTTCCCGAGTTATTGAGGTGAGTGGTGGCCCGAGCTACAGTAACTTCTTGTCAGGTCCAAGGCTGTTGTGTTTATGACGATGATAAAGAGAACAAACACCAAACATATTGGTTCTGTTGTTTTTTCGAAACGCGGGAGAACGTGGCAGGACGATCACTAATGTAGCATTGTGTAAACTGTTTTCGCTAGAAAGTAACCACGGATATCACTACTTCAAAATTTTGTAGAGCTCAGTCGATTCGCGCAACCGTTAGTTTCAATCTTCTGAATATCTCCACTGTTTCCTATTTTCCTAACAGAAATTGAAAAAGATGTTGAAGAAGGATTTGGACCCTGAAACACGTGACAAGGCTAGGCGTGCAGTGCATCTGTTAAAACAACGCGAAGCGACCTACAGAGACCGCACTTTCAGAAGAGAGACAATGAAGGAGATCCATGAAGTACAGTTGGAACAGCTTCAGTCTGGAAAACGAGTGAAGTTTGTAAAACGATGTATGTGTTAAGTTCATTAATAAATTTTTGAAATTCTTTCCTGAAGTAATATTTCCGTATCAAACTTTACTTATGTGGTTTAACTCAGACATGAACTTTTGGCCATCAAAAGTTCGAACAATTTAAGCCAAGAATATTCAGGAACCTGTAAGTGGTGTGGTAGATTTTGTAATTTAGATGAGACCTAACTGCAGAAAATCAGGGCTTCGACTGGATTCGAACCATCAACAGAAACATGCCCAATCCTGGCAAGCGCTCTACCAGTTGAGCTACGAAGCCACACGGGAAGCGAATATATTTCACGTTTGGGTAGGCTGCTTCTATTGCCGGTTCGAATCCAGCCAAAGCCCAGATTTTCCGCAGTTAGGTCTTATCTAAATTACGAAATCTGCCACACTAATAAGTAATGCATTTTCAATGCTCAACGGTGGTTTTGGTGGATTCCAGCGTGAACTGTGGAAAAATCCTGTTTGGGGAGTCAGTCTGCTGGATCATTTAGTGGATTACATATGACACAGTGGGTTGGTGCGTAATCGAGTCCAGAAGTGAGATTTCTGAGCTCCCGGCCTGGTCTTGTAATTCAGCTGGTAGAGCGCCTGCCGCGTTTGGGCATACTGCTTCTGTCGCTGGTCTATATGTAAGAAACATTTTCCGGGCAAGGTTTTATATAACCTGTTCAACGTAACTTAGTGTGTCGTGACCTGCCGGTGCGTTCCGAATTTAACATAACACTTCCAACTGCAAGACTGCAGTTTTTTGCGACCTCTAAGATCAGATCGTTGTGATAATCATCGTGGTCGCAACAACGCAGTGGCGTTTCCTATGTATGGACTAGTGTGTAAGTCTAGAGGTTGTCGTCTTGTTGGAAAAGTGACTGGTAGATTTAATTTTGTCTACAAAACCTGCTGGTAATAGTTGACGAGTGGAAGTCGCAATCATCACGCTATCTGTAACTCGATCTCTTGTAAATTTCCTCCTATGTAACACATCAGGCAACGGGAATCTAAATGCTGACTGTGGCAAGAAAACATGGAATGAATTAATGAAAAAGCTATAGACCTTTGCACCTAAATAGTAGGTTTTCTGCCTTTGCATTACAAAGCGCTTGCTGTCATGTGACTTGAGAAGTCACTTATATTCCGAATGCTGCAAGCTACGCAGCCACAGTCTGAGCCCTGCAATTAGTAATCCATCTCTTTACCGTTGATACCATTTTAAAAATATGAGAAGCTATCGCTAGTGCAAGATCCTCCCATTTTGAGGCACATTACTTACTCCATTACACTGCCAGTTCAGATAACTGAAGTGTGAATGATTTGGTAAATGTGTTATTTTTCCGATTCTTTTAGTTTCAGCCGTCCAAATTGTCCATTGCAACCAAGCGGTTACAAGATCTGTTAGATAGTGCAAGTAGGACTTTGAGTGCCAACTGCAAGGATCAGCAAACAAGAACCGGTGAACATCACCGACCTGCTTTCAGTCTACAACACCGCCAGAATCAAGCGGTTTGGTGAGAACGTCTCATTATTCTGAGGCCAACCAGACAAATACATGTAACAATATACCTAAGCGGAGTCCTGTGCAAGTGTGTGCGTGTGACCCATTTCAATTCCAGTTATTAAGCGTAACTCCGTGAAAAACATAGAAGTAAAATTTTAGACAGATCGATGACACATACGCTGCTGAAATGAATCACAGCAGCCCCGAAAAATACGTTTAAAATAATTACTGCTATTGGTGGCACACCCTTTTACTCCATCGATCACAACTGATTGATCGTAGTTGTAGATAACTCCCTCGAACCATGCTTGCACACATCTTCAAAAATGTGTGTCGCTGTCGGGCTTGCCTATATCTATCCCGGTAGCGTGCCGATTTCCGATGAGTGTAGATGTTTACTCCTAAGTTCCTCGCAGAGTAGTTGCACGTCGTACGAGATGGAGCCGACGTAAATCCACTGTGCACCACCCACCGCTTCCCTCGAAGGCTTTGGTAGTGTGTCTGTATGCATCGGGGACTATTTACTTCACCTGCGTTCGTTACCCGAGATAGTGCCACAGGCAAAAAAAGACCGACAACGTTTATTGATTCGTGCTCACTAACCTCTGAGGCTCAGATTCGATTGTCTGATGAGATGAAGCAGAAACTCGTGCAGGGTCTCGGCAATTATTCAGTCACAATGATCAGTGGAAACAGTCGGAACAAAGGGATCCAGAGAAAGGGCACTACTGTCAGACTAACAATACGTCAACTATCCAGCCTTGTATGTTAGAATGAGTAGAAGAGGATAAATTTTGGTGCCCAACACAAAAAGGTTTGGGATGAATGAATGATGTTTTTCCTTTTGACTAAAATAAACTCGGGAAAGAAAGAGTGTGGTGCTGCTTGTGAGCACAAGCTTCTGGCGACATGCAATTTGAACCAACGAGTTATTTAAATATCTACTTCAGGATCGAATTTCCGTGCTCCCATCGAAAATGAAAATGTCGTTCGTTCATTTTATTCTTTTCTTTTGCTTACAGCGGAGCTACGTGCTGAACTCCGGGAGAAGCGACTAAAGGGCATGAGTCGAAAACAACGGGAAAAGTACTTGATGCGACAAGGGAATAAACAGCTATACACGGGAACTGATTCGAAACCGTGATTCCATTACTTGTACAAATGTAACCAAAAGCACACGAACAAGATTTTCTACAAATGACCTCACATTGTTTTTATGAAGATGTTCGATTACTGATTATTCACCATAGGGAGCAATACGTCAGTTGTCCTCATTGGTGCTTAATTGTCACACAATCATGAAGAAAAAGCAAACCCTTTACAGGAAAAGGGAAGGGAAAAGAACTAACTGTTAAAAATAGCTGAGTCTATATTCAACATCAAAATGCCTACACCTTTCAAACGAACGACCGAACTATCAGCGATTAATGACTACTTTTAGCTTCAACTGACACCTGTTGTAATGTTTAATCTCTGGATCTGGAATAACCATTGAAGTACGCGTATAAGAGTAGCAATGTGGTGCCCATTTATCCCATCCCTATCTAGTAGCGCGTGCTGTGATCGCAGAGTATGCATTGTTCACTGATCATCACAGGCAGATGACTCACGCTGGGACGTGTGTACTGTGAAACGAATATCCACGTCTCCCCCTCCCCAAGTTGACGTCAACTTGAATGAAAGACTCCGAAATCCACAACATGGTGGGGTTGTCAGTAGCCAAGATCGACCTGTAAATAATTCAAACAGCTGCGCTTCCGTCGCAGCTGATTTTTTTTAAAGGGAGGCCATCTGACAGAGTATAAGCTACCAACCGTAAAACCATCCTCCCCTGACAGTACGGCACTTGTCTATAACTGCTTAGTTCACAACTAATGTCGGAAGAGCTACTTTGTGATTCGGAGCTTTGTCACACACATCTGGTCAGATATATGAGAAACCGCTAATTTTGATTAGAATGATCTTGACGTTAGTTACTTAGCTTATCATGGTTCGGTTGTAACTGTTTTTGAACGTCCACCTTTTGATCCATAGCCAATCAAAGTGCTCGCCGTTCGATATGCCTGCGAAAGTTCCATGTACATGTAGTAGAATAAGCCGTTTACTCAGTGAATTCGAATTACGCGGATGTTCCCCACGTTATGCAAACTTTTCTAAATAGAGTAATTGTATACCGGTCCGTGCTGAACCTTGTGCGCCGCCAAATGCTACCGCACAGATAACCTACTTCAAACTGCCTTCTGCACAGTCCGTCTCACGGCTGTAGAGCCACTTGCTTAGTAACTGTATTTGCCCCAGTTCTGCACAGATTGACACGATCGTTAGTATAAGGGAGCAGAGAGCGACAACTTCCGCTTGACCGTTTTGTTGATTAGGCCGCTTTGCTGGGTGATGAAAAACATCTCGTCGTGCATCTTATATATTGAACTGACAAACAAGAAAATGAGCGCACAACCACCGATTGGTTGTGAAATGTTTTCATACTCAATGGTGACGTTTACAAACAAACAGGTGAAATAGTCTTTGGGCTTACTCATGGGAAAGCTAGAAGAAATCGCCACATAGAACAATCAACACATTGGCGGGACTGTATTGACATTTTGATCATCCTACCCGAAAGCAGATCTGGCACGTATAGCACATGCCAAATAAGGTGCATCTATTCATAGTTACTTATGCGAGCATACCCGACGCGTGAGAAAACGTGAAACCAATTATATGCTTCCGGCAAATTTTGATCACATGTCATCTCGGAAAACGAAAACATCCACCTAACTTCAGCATTAACCCTGGAGGTGGACGTAAGCAAATTCTCGCTTTCTAGACAACGCGAAAGTAAATATGGTTAAAGGCATTCACCGTAGACGTACTTGGATTGGCTAATTACACGCTTTCGCAGCCTTGCATCTTCCGGAGAGAACAAAACGCGTTGATCCGTTGCTCGACGAGCACAATAGAAATCTCCTCCGCCCAAACCCTAGGAAACAAATTTAGTCTTATCACCAACGTACCTCGAGTAAACTGAACACTTCATAGTGAAAGACGTTACGATTGCACTGGCAAGCCTATACTGTCCAGATGACATTTTTTACGGCTTCAATCTCGATGCCATAGCAGTCGGACTAATCAATCACATTCCTTTTTCATTCCAAGAGACAAACGTTTCAAACAGCCACGTTACGAAGGTGACTCACAATTAAGACCGCGTCGAACTTTAATCTGCAAGACGAACTATCTGTTTACGATCAATCAGTCTGTTGTGACCGCAAAAGACGCTTGGCCTGATAATTCGTTTATTGCGCAAACTCACGTATTGATCATGTCAAAAATCAAACCATAAACGCGTACACTCATTTTGACGTTAGACATGCATTCACGTCCATCATTGTCATTCGCAATAGTAGAACTTCTGCCGTAGCGCATACACACTATTTCGATAGTCTCTTCTTGTCCTCCGTCTTCCTGACGTTCGCAGCTTGCCCTTTCGTTCCTGAATGTCTCCTGTGAGTAGTATACTACTCACAACGAAACTGCCTAACATACAACAAGTTTATGTATACATTTTCTTGTTGCTGTACTACAGAACACAGGCGGTAATATGATGCGGCTATTTAAACCACGGTTACCCAATCCACCGCTTCCCTCCGACTATGGACAAATTGAAATAGTCATCCAGCAGTAAAAAGGCAGACACTAGTAGACTTCGTACTGGCTCTTCAGCACCAAACAATAACCAAATGTATAAATAAGACTAGTGGGGTGGAGGACTGCCAAACTGT